GTGGGTAGAGGGATGCGTGCGGCCTTTAGCCCGATGTATTGACCCATGACGTGACGGCGAGCTGACGCCGGCGCCGCCGTCAGTGTCCGAGGTACGTGTGGTCCTTCGCCTGTCCCAAACCGATATAACCGTGCGCTGACGCCGCCGCCAGTCTCCGCGTAGTGGGTCCATGGCCGGACCACCCGGAGCTGGCCGATCAGCTGGCTTCGCTGGAGCTCGGCGTTGCCCGGCGACGGCGCCGTCTGCTACCCGGAACACTCGGCCTGGCGCTGCTGCAGGCCGGCATCAAGAGCGGCACCTACCAGGCAGGGCAAGTTCTTCGCGCGCTGACGACAACTACCTGGAGGGCACCGTCATGGTGGAGGGCCTCGAGCAGCCGGTAAGTGCGCTGGAGAGGTGGGGTCGGATAGACGGGGGGTTTCGAGAACGACTGCCCACAGTTCGACGGTCACGTGGTGATGGAACCGCTTGGTGTCGGCTGGCAGTGTGGCCATAGCTTAGAGAAATATCGACAGCTTTGATCTGACGTTGCCGTGTGGTGATCGTGACGATGTACTGGGCACTCTTCCGTGCTGCGTGTGGAGCGCATTGTCGGCCCCACCACACGGCAGTACCGAGAGCCGACGTCATTGCCGTTGAGATGGTTCATCGCGCGTCATGTGACGCTCTCCCGGCTGGTCGGAACAGCGTGCTCGCGGCTTGGCGGTGCCTCGCTCCCCCTCCCCCTCTCCAGAGGCGCGGCGCCAACCTGAGCCTGCGCCGACGCCGCCAGGTACTGATCCAGGGCCGCTACAACCTGAACCGAGCCGTGCAGGACGACATCGTGGCCGTGGAGCTGTTCCCGCGCGATCGCTGGTCAGTGCCATCCAACCTGGCCATCGAGGACGTCGGCTTCGACAATGGTGGGTGTGGCGTCCAGCTGTCCTGATCCGGGCCACCCGCATCTGGGCAGCGTGTATGACCTTGCCTATGTCTAGCCTGGCCCTGCCTGTGTTGAGTCTGGCGGGCCTGTGTCGAGCTTGGCCCTGCTTGTGTCGCGTCTGACCCTGCCTGTGTCGAGTCTGACCGTACCTGCGTCAAGTCTGGCCCTGCCTGTGTTGAGTCTGGCCTATCTGTGTCGAGTCTGGCCCTGCCTGTGTCGAGTCTGGCCCTGCCTGTGCTGAGTCTGGCCCTACCTGTGCCGAGTCTGGCCCTACTGTGCTCGAGTCTGGCCCTACCTGTGCCGAGTCTGGCCCTACCTGTGCGAGTCTGGCCCTACCTGTGCTGAGTCTGGCCCTGCCTGTGTCAGTCTGGCCCTACCTGTGCCGAGTCTGACCCTACCTGTGCCGAGTCTGGCCCTACCTGTGCCGAGTCTGGCCCTACCTGTGTCGAGTCTGGCCCTACCTGCGTCGGGTCTGGCCAGGACGACCCGTCCCTGACCGCGACACCTGTCCGGGTCGGGCCGTGTCTCCATGTCGGGTCGTGTTTACACATGTTTTGTAGTGCGCCCCTGCGTGACGTGGCGTGGCGCGTCGCTGCCGTGTTGCGTGTCAGCTGGTCTCACCCAGAGTCTAGTCATCTTGGCCCATAACCGACGGCATCTGATCGGGTGCACGCATTTGCGCCTCACCTTGCTCTTGCCTTGACCACTCCGGCGACCGCGCTGTGGTATGCGGCATAGGAACCAGGGGCTTATGCCTTGCCCGTATGATATATCAAATGTCGTGCCCAGGATAGATAGCAGCTTGTAAGCTGAACTATGGATCTAAGCCGCATTGCGCATGCCCTCGACCCCTGACACCCGTGTGGCGTGAGCTGACCGCATGGGCCGCTGTGTCAGATTTCTCGTGCGAGCTGGGCTTCCCTCCGGAGTGTTGCCTGGGCCAGGCGGCGGCACAGCCCACTGGCCGTGTGGTGGGCGTCATCAAGAGGAAGTGGCGCCAGTACTGCGGGCATGGGTCGAGCTCAACCCCATCCCAGAGGTCGGTCGGCAGCACACCTGCGCTCGCTCTCGCGTCAGCGAAGGGCGCGGGTACTGATGCCCCTTTCCATGAAGGTCGCTGGTTCGATTCTTGTGCTGTACGTTTCCTTTAGTGGCCATAGTGGGTCAGACTGGTTTGAAAGCCAGACACGCCGATGTTACCTGTGTGCGTCAGCTCTGTACCGTGTATGCTGGTGGCTTTCACGTATCCATGCTGAAGTACTGACGGTTGAGTGCCCTACGAAATCTGGACGATCTCGCGCCGAGGCATCCGTTCAGGGCCTTGGCACCGTGACACTGTGACCGTGACACCATAACACCGTGACACCATGACCGACTGTCTGCTGCAGGAGATCCACCACCAGTTTGTGCCGGCCAACGGGCGCGTGCCCCGCGTGCTAATCCAGACGGCGCGGGGCCAGCAGCTGGCCGGCAAGCGGGTGGTCGTCACGATAGACAGCTGGCCCAGGAACTCGCGCTACCCCCTGGTCAGTGGCATGGCTGCGGGACGGTTGATAAGGCCTTTGAATGACGATCGAGTAACAATCATGGTGGAGGCTCAGTCTCAGAAGTCGCCTGGATACAGATGGTGTCATATGCACAGTAGGACTGTTGCTGCTGCCTGCCAACCAGCGTATGACCTTGATCCTCATGCTTCGGTGCGGTCAGGGACACTTTTGCCGCGACCTGGGCAAGATCGGCACCAAATCTGCTGAGAACGAGGTGCTGCTGCTGGAGCATGACGTGCCGCACAGTCACTTCTCGGACGGCGTGATGGCCTGCCTTCCTCGGCTGCCCTGGGAGATCACGCCTCAGGTACGGCCCACAGCTGGAAAACTACTGCGCAGGCTCGACGGAGAGGCAGGGATTCTTGCTGTAGGCACGATATAAAGACCGAAGGCCAGGTTGCAGGGACGGGGGATCAGAGACCACTCTGCATGTAAGACTTTGAAATAGCCAATGGTAACATCCGGCACCAGGGTGGGAAAGCTGCCTGGGACCATAAGCATTCGGTAAGCACACACTAGATGCTGGTTGACGCATTTTAATCCGGCTAATTATTGTTTTCGTCACGGAACCTGAAGACTCGCCCTGGCTCGCATTGTCCGCTGGACCAAACCAACCACTGTCGGGTCAAAATAGTGTATTCCGGAACATCGCCTCCGTGAACCCGCCATCCACGCGTCCGTCAGTGCCGTCCGCTGTGCGCTCGGGGCTGGCCACTCGCTGTGCGGCCGCTCAGCGAAAGTGCAGCACTTCTGCCATGGCGTCGGCCGTCTCGGTCGGGTCCAGGCCGTCGAAGATGGCGGCGCCGAAGTGGAGCGGAAAGGCGGCCGCCAGCGCCAGCTCGTCCGGCTCCAGCCCGCCCAGCTCCTCGTCGTTGCTGGGTGGACGTCTCGTCGGCCCGTGTCGGCGGCGTTGCCGGCTGTCCTCGTCCTCGGCCGCCGCGCGCAGCGTGTATGGCAGCGGCGGGCCCGGCGGCGGTGGCGGTGGCGGTGGCACCGGCACTGTGGACGTGCCGGCCATGACACCCGCTTGGCTCGCCACGCCGGTCGCCGCCGCGCCCGACGCCGCCCGCCGCCGCCGCGCCCGCCGCCGGGGCCGGCCGCCGCTGCCCGCGCCCGCCGCCGCCCGCGCCCACCATGGCGACACCACCGGTCGCGGCCGGCCCGCCCTGGTAGCGGATCATCATAAGATTGCGCGTGTTGTTGATGGTCTTGCGCTCCTGGCGCGCCTCGTCCGTGAGCTTGCGCTTGCCTGTGGTGCGGCCGGCGCCCGCCCGCCGGCCCGGCGCCACGGGCGTACGCTGCGGACTCACTGGAACGGACCGCGGCGGCGTCACGGTGCGGCCAGCTGAGGCTGCTGGTGGCGGCCAACGGGTCGCGTTGCCGGAGTTTTATCACATATATTTTTTATTTTGTTTTATCGCATGTGCCCAACACCGTGCACTCCCACGCAGGACTTAATAACACCTAACGAAGGCCGGAGAATGAACAGGCTGAAACGTTGTGTGCGTACTAAGACACCAGACAAGGACGACAACAACTACGTCATCTATTCACTAATGGAAGTTAATGCTGGCGTGTAACCAGCTGAGCGCTTTGGACCATAACTGGCCATTTTAGAGCTGTCGAGTTACAGAGGAGTACCTGATGGGGTAATGCCGTGATTATGATCGGCTGTTTCATCGCCACCGAGTCTGACCCCGCGCGGGGATCCGACCGGAGGGTGCACGCGGCTGCTCTGCCGGGCCTGCCGCCAGCGCGGCTGTGAGTCTATGCTCGGCTGACGGCCGCAGCACGCTCCCCGGAAGACGGGCTCTTTTCGGATCACGGGAATGGGGTATGAATAGGGAAAACAGAGCGTATAACCGTCATGTCCGGCGAAACCTTTGGGTTTTCACGCTGTGGTGATGGGCGTCAGCAGGCCTGACCAAGGCATCTTTTTCAGCCCAAAGTTGGGCGTGTGTGCGTACGTAACTGACCTTTGCCGGCCTTCCTGGGGCTGGGTGTGTCGGCCGGCCGGTCGGCGCTGTCCGCCTCGCCGGGGCCCTGCTGGCTCTGCTGCAGCCGGCGGCGCACCAGAGAGTCCAGGCCCGAGAGCGCGCGCTGCTTCTCCTGAGAGCGCGCGGCCCGGGGCGTCACCGGGCTGGGCTGCGGTAGACTGCTGAATGTGCGTGGGCCGACTGCGACAGAAGCCGTGTTGCATCACGGCAGCCGACTAGGGTTGCGATAAAAACTCTACGTTCGCAGCGTCTCTTTCGGACTGGTCGCGGTGCGTGTGTGGTTCGTGAGTAAACTGCCCAAAGATAAGGCATGGTGTGTATCCTTACCCGCATCGTGGTGGTATCTTGCGGTCAGGGCAGGGCAAATATTGGCTACCGTCGTTATGTGGTGGCAGCATAAACCTCTACACTTTAAAATATACAGCCAGCTGCTGGATCTATTTTGATGGCAGAGATATGACAGGCTGTCCACTGGGTGCTGTGGAAGAGAAACGTTGACTCTCCTAATTGTCACTCAGCTGTGTAGTATAAGTTGCATGCCTTCCTCACAATCACCATTGGGCGTTGGTCATGTATTGGTGTTTTCTTACCTCCCTCATCGTCCACATGCTAGTACATACCTGCTTCCGACTTGCGTCATCGAGGCTGGTGCAACAGTTGACTACATCAACAAGCTGCCAATGCAAGTCTACAAAATTGTTCTCTGTGGGAAGCCCAACTCCTTTCAAGCTTACTGATGACACCCCCTGGACGTGTTTTACGAGGCTGATTGCGATGCTCAGCAGCGCGAGGAGCGTGAAATTGTCCTGTCGACTTACACAGCGGAGTTCCAAGCGTACAGTCATGCGACCGCTTATGCTATGCAGCCTTGGCATGAGATTCGCTGACTAGATACCACCGAAATAAACTGGATCTGCGGGAACCAAAACTTCTTCGTTATGAACCAGTTGATTGGCGTCAATTGTCAGTTTGTCCGAAGCTGTCAGTGGAGTCCATGACACCACTTTGAGTGAACATTCACAACCTTGGAGCACTGTCGGGAAGAAGTGCGGCGTCGATAATGCTGACCTAATGTGTATCGGTCCAGTTACCTGTGGATGTCCGAAATGTTAAACAAAAGAGGGACGCAAAGCGGGACATGGCAAGATTCATGTGAAGCGAATGTTTCGGTTAGGTATTGACCCCAGAATGGTGCTGGAAAAGGAATAGCCACATGAATGACTTCAGCAAAGATAGCTTCTGATGTCAGATGGACCAAAGGGATCCCGATTTGTTATCAACCACCTGTTTGTGTGACATCATACACGGTGAGCTGCAAATTGCAAAACCTTGAATTTGCTTTAAGCGTCACGTGCAATGTCCATCTGGGCGAAACATAGGCGCAGGTTCACAGGGTTACGGAGTGGCATGTCGGGTTTTGATAGCTTCATTGGTGGGCTGCCGCAAACTGACCACCAGCTCCTGCTGCAGGTCTTCCAATCCAGACACGTTATTGGTGCTTTTGAGAGACTGCCATTTGGAATAGGCCTCCTTCTCGTACTGGGCAGCCACCTTCCCGACTTCGACTTGTTCTGTGGATGACACCGTGTTTTGGTAGGGCGCTCCACGCAAAAAGCGGCTTTCAATTTTGTCAGATATCGGCACTCGGGCCACCTTGTGACTATTTTGATGTGGTTTGAAGAGAGAAACCACACTGACGGAGGTTCCTGTCTTCATCCCGATTCTATCCATAGACGCCTTCCAATCTTTAAATTAACGGGCTAAATTCTATTGGCAAATGCTTAGTCAACACGACGTCGATCAGTTGTGCAGAGAGACAGTATTAATTATCAATTAGATATTATTTGTGTCGATTAAATGTTAAGGCGTTATTAATTGCCCCCCCCCCCTCCGTAGTTAATTTCACAGTATATTACCTTTCGTGTATGCGTTGCTGACCACTTTTTCATGTCTTGATGTCTTCTTCTTCACGGCCTTGTGGTTGTCGGTGGTTCTGCGGAGATTGGCCAGAGCTTCGGCAGCCTCTCCGTACAAGTGCTCCAGCTCCAGGACTTCCTCGGACAACCGGCTAGACGACTGACTGTCGAAAGAGGGCACGTCTTTGAAACAGAGCGCAGTGAGCGTCGACTCTGCTGGGAGTGTACCTTTCACAATCCTCGGCGCACTGATCGAAGCAGTGCGCCAAAATGAAGCCAATATATTTTTTAGTTGACGTTTAGCTAACTCACTCCATGCATAAGTCCCACCGCGATTTTGTTACTTCTGCTGGCCCTAGTATGCTGCAACGTCATGGCTTTGCCCTGGAAAAGACAGCGAATTACTGCATGCTAACTATATGACCAAATATGTGAGGGGACTCGCGCGTTTGGAACTGCCTGTACTCGAACTCACTGGCTGCGTCCGTGCAT